GAAATTCTACAGCTTATCGATTTGTTGTATAAGATTTTTCCAATATCGGTATTAAAAAGTAGTACACATTTTTACTCTAAAGGTTAGATAATTGCTTGCAGAATTTGTTCCCAATGTGCAGAAAATATTTTCTGAATTTCAGTAGAAAAGATTTTGATTTCTAACTTTGCAATCTAGCAACTTCTACGTATATGATACACTGTTCACAGATGACCAGATAGTTCTTTACGATATTAAATAAAAGTGCCATATGTACTCTGGATTACATTGCACCATAAAAATATGTCAAATCCATAGTTAGACATTACATACAAAAACAAATTGTAAGTGGCATCGGTTTTTTTCGGCTCGAGTAAGCATCTTTTTCAATGGAAACATTCATCTCTAAAAGTAGCGCATTGATTTTTAAAATCTTTTTCTGCCAGTGTCTGTTCAATCAAAAGATTTCTTTAGTCACCGAAATTTCTTCAAGTTAAAACTTGACAAAGAATTTCAAATTCTTTTATTTTGTTTCTTTTTTGTAGTGAAAATGAGAAACGTTTCAAACAGTAAATCCTTTTTTCGACAAAATAACTTAGAAGACTTTAAGAGAAATATTTTTAATTAATGCTGGCAGTCTTTTCAGATCTTATGTTAACTGTTTATTCAAAGCATTTACATCTATAAGGTTCTATTGACAAAGTTTTTTATACAATATATTAATGTGTTCATATATTGGCTTGTGTGAAAAAAACGCCTTGAAAAGAAAAAAAATTTACGATCATCGTAGGAAAGAAACTTAGAATGAGTATTTCCAGTAAATAATGAAAGATAAAACTCCTGGACTAGTATCATAATATATGTTATGTTTTTCTAATAGGCTTTCTGCTATGGAAATGCACAACAACCATGGAAAACCGAGTGAAGAAGTAGGACTAAGTTCAAGTGACAACGACACTATCATCAATTTAAATCATATTAATAAAATTTGTATTCGAGACAGCATGATTTTAAATTGTAAGCATATATTCCGAACTGATGGTTTAAGGTCTGATATTGAACTTATAAATGATTTACTATTTGGTATTGTAAACTTGGATAGAGACATGTTGAAGAAAAAAATATTACCTCGAATCTCTCGTCGACAAATGGGTGAAGAGTTATATAATGACATTTGTAATTGGTTAGATAAAGAAGGATCTATACTAATCGTTAAATATCTACCGTATTTATCTATAGCATGTAATATGACTTTTTATCAATGTAATGTAAGAAATCATCGAGATCATGATCGCATATTTGTACCTGTTGATCAAAATCATGATATAGCAAATGCTATTTATTATATGTGTGATAGATCAGGACAAAACATCATAGCTATATGTATTACAGATCATTCCTATATCAATCATATTCATAATAAATTATTATTATCAACTGATAAAAATGTCAATGACAAAGTTGAATTATATAACATATTAATTTCTGAATATATTAAACAAGCAAAAAGTCTTCAATTTCATCAACACTTACTCTTACTATCTAAATGGCAATATATATATAAATGTTATAAGGCTAAAATGCAATTAACACGTGATCTTACTCCGATTGATTTATTAGACTATTGTCAATGTTTAATTATGCTTAGTAAATATAGTGATGCTGAAAACTTAATATCAAATGTATTACTTAGAATAAATCAAACAGATGAGACATGGCATCTACTTGTTAAAGCACAGCGCAAATGTAAAAACTATTCAAATACAAGAAAAGAAAAAGAAAAACACGAAATGTACTTATCAGCTATTGAAAGTATTAGTAAAGCACTTAAACAGAATGAAGATAATACAGAAGTAAAAAATGAACGAACAATAATAAATAAACTAATAGAACGAGCATCGCGAGAAGAAACTTCTCCAGAACATGATATCAGACCTAGAAGACGCATTGATAATTGTTCATCATACAATATTTTATCAATTGATGGTGGTGGAATTCGTGGAATAATGGCTGCTATTTGGTTACGTGAATTAGAACGAAAAACGAAACGAACCTGCTCATCTATGTTTCAAATGATGGCTGGAACATCAACAGGTGCTATTATCGCTGCTGGTTTATCCGTACCTGACAAATATAATCGAACAATACCAGCTCATGATGCTTCTGAGTTAGTTGAGCTTTATAAAACTCGTGGAAAAGATATATTTATTAAAAAATCTCGTAATTTCTGTAACTATCATAGAAGTTCTTTCTCTTTAGCACCTAAATATTCCTCTAATGGTAAAAGAAACTTATTTGAACATTATTTTGGTCAAACTTTATTATCGGAGTGTTTAACGGATATTGTTATACCAATTGTAAGGAGTGCTGATACTTATACTCATTTATTTACAAGAAATGACAGTTTATATTCAACAAGTTTAGTAGATGTTCTAATGGCAACAACTGCTGCACCTACTTATTTTAAACCGCATATTTTGTATGGTACAAATCATATTGATGGTGGTGTACAAATGAATAATCCAACAATGGCTGCATACACGAAAGCTATTGAATATGGTTATGAGAAAGAAAATATATTTGTATTGTCATTGGGAACAGGTGATTATATAGAAGATCCATTGGTGGCTAACGATCATCCAGATATTATATATTATCTTAGAAATCGCAATAGTTTAGTTAAAGTTTTACTTGATAGTCAACAACATAATGTGGATTATCAGATGAGTATTTTAATGAATGATGAACATTATTATCGGTGGCAAGTATGGTTTGAAGAACTTATTCAATTAGATAAATACGAAACAGATATAGTGAATAAATTAGAAAATATTGCATATGAATATTGGGAAGAAATGGAAATTTATGATAATAATAGATTAAACAGATTGATTGAACGTTTAAGATTTGAATAAAATAACAC